TCTTTGATATAGACTTAGTTTGTAACTGGTTCATCAATAAAATAAATGGTATTCATATGGCTAATTTAATTTGTTGATATATTAGTTTTAATTTAATTGTATCCAAATATATTTTTTGTTAATATTTATTACACATGTAATTGAATTTATTTATGGATTGATTTCTTGCAAATTTGGTCTCTCTCTATATAAACCAACTTGTAGATAAACCACAGAGTTAATAATAACTGTAGTTTAGAATATGACTAAGTTGAAGTAGTTTGTTAAATTGACCAAATATTCAATCACAATTACTCTAAGATATTTTAAAGGATGTATTGCATGTATTTGACCAGGTTAATTAAATTTGATAGGTAGATGCAATTACTTACGTTATCGATTTAATTCATTGGTTGCTCAATTTCTAGATTATTTATTTATACCTCGTTCATGGTATCTAGGTCGAGAATATACATATTAATTAAGAATGAGCTAAGTAAGACAACATGCAGTCACACTGAGGTAAGTTAAATCAATTAATTGCCTAAAAGGATGTATTTTGACCATTAAAAACTATAGGTAAATATATTTGCATGCATTATAAATTTAATTCATTAGTTGGTTAATTTCTATGTTAATTATACCCCTCAATCCTATCTGAATTGAACTATTTTTCTTGCGAATGGATATAAATACAAAAAATAAATACATATGATTTAATAAAAAAAAATGTGTTTCCATTATAGGAAAGATTATTATAAACACTTGACTCTCAAGTTAATAAACAATTTATGGTCAACACATATTTTAGTCTATATAAATTTACAGGAAGGTTTTCATAGATTAATCGTTGAAGGATTTTAATGAAATAGTAAATCCTCTAATGTTGAATATAATATTTGGAATAAAAAAATATATAATCTGTAATATAAAAATGATAAAAAAATATACTAAATATATTTTCAGAATGTGTTAAATTTTAATTTTTACATAATAGAAATTATCCATTAAATACTTGGATAATAGACAAATAAGTACTTAGAACAATAAAATGCATATTTAAAACTTTTAATAAATTATAACATAAACAAAATAATCTTTCAGTTTTATATTAATTAAAATTTAGTCAAAATAATCTATGATACATAAATACAAAATATAAATCAAAATTTCGTCATGTTTTTTTAATTACCTTTATTTGTTTCAACGGATTTCATTTTTTTAGTAATTAATAATTAGCATATATAAGAATATAAACATTGTTTATTTAGTATATATATATATATATATATATATATATATATATATATATATATATAAAAGTATCAAATATTTTGCTGATTTTTAAAAATGTTATTCACTTTATATCTTTTCTTTATATATGTTCATAATAATACATTTTAAAAAATAACTACTACAAATGTTAATTATTTTTTATTTTTTAATTTATTTTAAAAATTATATTATTATCTATTAAATATCGTGATTTCTCAAATCATAATAATGTAGGTTATATTTATGTGAATTTCTATCATACACTAATATTATATATATATATATATATATATATATATATATATATATATATATATATATATATATATATATATATAATAAAATAGTAATAGAATGAACTTACAAAATAAGGTGTGTTAAATTATGTGATGTGCCCAACTAGTTTATCTGTTTATTTAATATATCCCTTTAAACTACAGATTAAAAATATTAATTATTTTTTTCATTCATATATAAAATGGTAAAGTAATAAATAAATAAAATGTAAAATAATAAAAAATTGAGAGAGATAAAATAATTAAATAAAATATTTATTTTATATATATATATAAATTTTTTTATTTCATTAATCTATAAATAATATTATTTTGATAACAATATTATAATTTATAAATAATAGTTTACATTAATAATCTACAAATTACAATTAAAATGAATAATCATGTAAAATAATTTAAATAAATAATTCATATTTAATAATATAAAAAGATATCCTATATTTAGATAGTGTTACTGAGATAACATATGTTACTTTTATATATATATATATATATATATATATATAATATTTTATCACAATAGTTTATTAAAAATATTTTATTGAATAATTAATTTATGATATTTATTTAATAATATAATTTTTTTATTTTATAATTAAATTTATATTTTAAAATTTTCATAAATTAAATTTTTCAATTTTGTTTTCGTTCTAGTATTATAAGTGAATAAAATTATATATATATATATATATATATATATATATATATATATATATATATATATATTACATTATGATACTATGTTTACAATTTTTTGTTGCTATTATATTATTATTATTATTTTAAAATACACATAACTATAAATATATAAAAATGATAACAAATAAAAAATAAATTAATACCATAATATTAAAAAGTTAATTAATTAATTAAAACATAATTATATATTCTTATGACTAATCACCAGATATTAAAGGAACCAAAAACATTATTGTTAGTAAGTATATCATATTTTGTCCATATAAAACAAAATTGTCTGTAACTTTAAGGAGGAACCAAAATTAAATATATACTTTGTTACTAATTAATAAATGTGAATTAATAATTATATACTAAAATATCATAAATAATATAAACTAATACATATTTACTGAACACCTTAATAATAATTTTATAATTAACCCTAACAAGAATATATAACAATAGCAAATTAATAAGACATATTATTAATAATAAATTAATAAATATAATAACATTATAATATAATTATAATATAATATGACCCGAAACAAAGATATATTGAGATAAAAAAATCTAATTAAGTTACGTAATATATGTTAAATAATATATGAGCAGTCATGTCACGTCAATTTCATTTTTTAAATATTAAAATAATAAAACTTAGTCTTTTTAAAATGTTAAATTTTATTTTTAATTTTTTATTAAAATTCAATGATTAAAAATAAAATAATAATTAAAATTTTAAAAGATAAAAAAGTTACAATAATAAATATAAAAATTTATAGTTGAAAGTAAATAAAATTATTATCTATTTTTTCTTATCACAATATTTATATACCATATTTATTATTATCTTTTTTTTTAATTATATTTTTGGTAGAAACCAATAAGATATAACGTATTTTTATTATTCTTATTAATTTTTACGTGACAAAACTGGATAGATACATACTGTTGTCTGTTTTCTATCTTAAATTGACAAATTGAATTGATAATCTTAGTTTATTAGACAATTTTGACTTATTTTTTATATTTGACAATTCGCTAAATTAAGGATGAGATAGAATAAGATGATTTATTGGATTATATATTTTTTAATTATATATTAAAATTAAAAGAAAAAAATATTATAATTAAAAATATTATATTTTATTTAAATATATAAATATATTATAATATTATAATTTAAATAATAAATATTAATGAATTAAATTTAAATTATTGATTATAATTTAATATTTCAATATATAAGTAAATTGATTTTTTCAATTTTATCTAATAAAATATATTAAAATATAAAATTATTGATATATAATGTATTTTAATTAATTAATATATATATATATATATATATATAAAATATTTTTTACTAGATGAATTAAGGTTTAATTTGAATTAATAAGATGTATCTCGCTTTTAGTGTGGGAAAATAAGAGAAACTAAAATAAGATAAACTGGTTCATTTTGTTAGGCATATTAATTTGTCTACACACAAGTTATATTATTTTAAATCAAATAATGTATTTACATATGTAAAACAAGTACCTGGTGTTGTTGGCATGTGATAAAAGAATAGCGAGAAGTAGGCAGCGGCATTTTGCCTCCTCATCTGCGTCCATTTTTCAATTGTCTCCTCATCTTTTTTATTCTTGTTTTTAATAAGTTTTGGATTTTCTGAACCAGTAGTGTTAGATCTATATTATTTAAAAAATAATAATTATATTTATAATAAATTTATTTTATTATTTTTATATATTTTTTATATAAATAAATATTTATAATTTTATAATTATTATTAATTAAATATATATTTAAATTTATTATATTTATATCAAAATATATATATATATATATATGTAATATTTAATTATTTTTGTATATATATATATAATACTTATTATTATTATTATTTTTATATATAAGTTAATTCATTTTTAAATATTTAAAAATATAAATATATAATTTATAAGAAAATATTTAATAAATTAGTTTTTATTTAATTAGTTCAAAATAATAAATTTTTTTAATTTTTAAAAATATAATTATTTTATTAAAATAAAATTTGATATATAACAAAATAAAAAATAAAAAAATTAATTTTATATTTATTAAATTAGTTGAAAAGATTGAAAGAAAAATTAGAAAATATAAAAAAGTAAAAAATAAATAAAATAATTAATATATGAAATATAAAAAAATAATTTTATATATAATAAAAAAATTAAAATATTAATATTTTAAATTTTAAATTTAAAACTGTGAGAAAAACGAATACGGGTTAAGATGAAAACTACACTATCAACCTCACTTGCATCTAACTTTTTAAAGCAAACAAAAATCCAACCCAATTTTAGAATACAAGTTTAAGTTTAATTGTGATCTCAACGGCGTATGATGCATGTATCACCACCGAAAAGGGGTGACAAGTAGCACTTCTATTAAATTGTTGATATATCATTTTGTCTTTAAAGGTGTGTTAGCAGCACATAAAATATCAGTAAATTGCTGATACAAGTTGTACTAGACCCAAATTAAGTCTAAATTGTAGTTTTTAGAAATCTAGAAAAAAGTCAAAAGAAAATACTCCCCAAGAAGTTAACCCGATAGAGATTTCTGAAATAATAATTGGGTGGTCTTTCTTTCTCCATTAAATGCGAACTCTATATTAGCCATGTTTGCACTCTGCAAATCACTCCCAAGTGATCATTAATAAAAAATATTCTTTTGTGTGCTGCAAAATACCTCTGTAGCTAGTGCTGGTTAACTATGTCAGAAACATCTTCAATATCTAAAACAAGGTCAGAGGTGTGGCGAACCCGACTGGGGTCTGCACTACGAACCACCTTGGCATGTAGCATAGCAGGTTGCACCTACTTCTATGGCCCTGCACCACTCACACGGTACCTCTCATTCCCAGCTTTCATATACTCAACAACGGTCCTCATAGTGTCAGATGCTACACTCGGTGACACGCTAAGAGGTTGCTATCGCGTGCTTTGCGCCAACATCTTGGTCATGGTACTGTCCCTGTTCAGTCTGCAGCTGATAGGACCCCAAAACTTCACCCATTACTACGTGGCTGCACTCGCCATGGCAGCTTCTGCGTTTCTCGTTGCGTTGACTGCTGAGTCCACCCACTTGGTCACTAAACAGATCGCGTTTGGACAGCTAGTGAATATTTACATCAAGACGGTCCTAGACGGTGCAGGAGAAGGAGTGGCCATGCACTCGATTGATGCCGTGTGCTCCACAACTCTTGGAGCTTTGGCTTCTGTTCTCGCCATGTTTCTCCCTTATCCTCGCCTCGCCTACTATCAGGTAATTATCTCACCTTTATACATATTGAAATTGAATGATCTTAGCTATGTGATATAGAAAATGTTACGATGATCAATTGTGTGAAACTCATATCCCTTCTTAGTTTCTACTACTACCTATATCAATATCCATTTCATAATAAAGAATGAACAATATTTGTTAGAAAACCAGAAGTTTATCTTCGTACTAAATTTCTGACAAAGTTATTGCTGTTTCTAGATTGGGTTTTTTGTTACACTAATCTTTCTAAATAGCTTATCTTTCTTTGTGATAAAAAATCACGACATTTTAGATTGTTTTCAACGGGTCGTGTCCTATAGAAAAATGTTAACATGTACACCAAGTTTGTGTTTTTATTTTCCAGGCGTTTTCTGGTTTTAAAATATTATCTTGCAAACTGTCTCCAAATGTTTGTGTCCATGTGGTTATAAGAGAGAGACTGTTTATGTTTCGTTGTGTTCATCGTTTAGCATCGAGCAACACATGAATGAACGGCTGAAAACCTCAAATTCTGTCGCGAAACTGGGCCATTATGGTAGATATTTGTTCTTTTGAGTGTTGATTAATCTATTATATAACTTTATTTATTAATATTATATTGATTTAAAATTAAATTTTAAAAAATTATTATTTTATTAATAAATAAAGTTATTAAATAAATATTTGTTGATACTGGATAATTTATTTTTTTCCTTTTCTATTTAACGTAAATTATTTAAAAAAAAAGAGTGAGAAAATTAATAATCAAGTTAAAAGTCTATTTAAATTCTTCACAACTTTTGAGTGCAGGCACACGTATAGGTTATTAAAACTATAAAAGAGTAACGTCGCCACAATTTTTAAAAATATAAAATTGACTTTCGTATCAAAATAGCGCAATTTTTTAAAAATTTAAATTTACTCTGGTAAATTTTAAAAAAATTAGGTCAGTATGACTTTTATTATTATATTATTATAATTAATAATAAAAAAATTATATTATTAAAAGTAATAATTATTTTATTATTTTATTATTCATAATATTGAAAACGTGCTTCATGACTTATTTATATTTGTAATTTTTTTTAAAATTTACCCATTTTAATAATTAAAAAAAAAAGTTACACCTTTATCTTGTTCCGTAAAACTACAAATAGGTTATTACTTATTCTTAAAGAGTAACGACTTTATCACTAAAGGGGACTAGGGTAACTTTTTATAATATGAAAGTTAAAATCTATTAACTAAATAACAAGGTTGAAAGTCTTAGAAGGAGGAATTAATGTTACTTATGTAGTTGGAGTCTTTGTTTAAGCATTAACTTAAACTTTATTAGCATATAGCACAAGTCAACAAAATCAAAACTATATGAAAAAGAGGATCATATATATGGACCCTATATATATATATCCCACATACAACCATAACAATAATATAACAATAAATAATAATAATAATAATAATAATAATAATAATAATAATAATATATTAAAATATGTAAGAGGAAGCAAAACGTACAATGCAATACTGTTATTTAGTTAATTGCAAGTAACATTGGTATTGGCAGATATCAACACTGACACTCTAAAAAAAAATCATTACTTAATTAAATGGCAATTTGTATTTGTGTTTTACTTTTATTAGGGACAGAAAGAACTAAAAAAATAGTATATAATTTGCAAAAGTAACCTAGTTTATTGAATAACTTCTTTTAAGAATATCAACATAGAGAAGTTGATATGAGGATGAGTATTAGGGGCATAGATTGATGAGTTGAAAGTCAAACTGAATAACAATTTAAAGAAATCCCTGGACCAACCTAATCTTAGAGCAGTGAGAATTCTCCAAAACGGTGGCATGCAAGACTGAACAATTACCCAAATTAAATAAAATCTGAAGGTTCCATGTGCATGTTTGTAATGGCATTTGTTATTAATGTGACCCTGAGAAAGGATGAGAGTCACATGGAATGGAATTAGGCATGACTCCGTCCCACTTTTTAATCGTCCCCAACAATTACAAATTAAGTTTTTTTTTATTATTATTTTTATTACATTTCCAGTTTTTCTGTTTTTATCTGTTTCTGTTTATATTATTTTTAGAAAATAATTATATTTATATTAAATTAATTTTATTATTTTTTAATATATTTTTATAAAAATAAATATTTATAATTTTAATTATTATTATTAACTAAATATATATTTTAATTTATTATATTTATATTAAATATATATATATATATATAAATAAATTAGAAATAAAATAATAATATTTATTATTGATATTGATGTAAAATATTTAAAAAGGATAAAAAAAGAAAAAATAATTTTGTATTTGTGAAATTTATTAATATTAAAAAAACTAAACTGATTAAAAAATAAGAAAAAAAGAATAATATAATAAATTAATTGATTAAAAAAATTAAAAAAAGACAATAAAGTCAAAAGTAAAAAGTAAAAATAGAAAATATTAAATATAAAAAATGACTATATATAATATGAGAATAAAAATAAAATACTTATAAAATATTAAAATTTTATAATTTAAATTTAAATATAAAAATAGAACAGGGATGGATGGTAATTTTATTACTCATCTTCATCCCAACTTTTTAAATAAATAACCAAATTCATTCCTGTCGCTATTTTCAGTCAACTTAATTTTTTTCTACTAAATTGAAGACAAGACAATGACAAATCAATCCTTAATTATCATCTAATTTAATACACCCTCTTTGACTAATTGAACAACAATATATACAATTAAACAAGAAAGAAACAAATTTATGATTCGCTTTTCATATAACCATCAACAATTTGATTTATTAATAAAATAATAAATTTTAATTACTTTTATTTTAATTTAATCACTTTATAAATATAATATTAAAAAATGAAATTGTCTAATAAATATTTTTTTTAGGTGGATGTCAAAATATCACTATTCTAAATCATTAACACTATCCATCACATTTTCTTTTTTTTAATTTCACTTGTCTTCCAACAAATTTTTGAGGTAATTTACAAGAACATACAAGGTTCCACGTGTCCCAGTTTAAATGTGTTGCGCCAAGCATGGCCACAAAATAAGAGGCAACAAAACGACCCAATAAGACAACACTAATTGTTAGAAGAAAACTATATCAAAAGGAAATTATTTGGAAAGTCAAGCTCATTAGAAATTTAAAAATGGAAACCGATAGGGAGAGTAATTTTTCTCTGTATGTATCCTTATTCAAAATTTCTAATATTTTATTTCAGAGGATGCTCTGTTTTGTTATACAACTGCAAATGTCATTGATATTAGAGGACAAAATATTTTACTTTCAGACAAGGAAGTTGTATCGACTATACACCCAAAATATTTGCGAGAGATTAAACTGCAACATAGAGGCCATCTCTGCCACAAACAACTCCACTGATGTTGTTTTCTTCATTCAAGCCAAGTCCCTCTCTGAAGCAGGAGTCAAGCTTCTCCAGAGTATTAGAAGTAAAGTGGTAAGTTAACCTAAATCATGGTTTCTGGCCCTAAACTTGCGACTTCAGGACCAGACAATTAATTTCCTAGTAGCTAAATATTTGGTCTTGATGTTTTATCAAACAGGATGGCATGAATTGGGAAAGGCCACAAACAATAATTTTCAAACCCCATTGGATTGATCCAGAAGATAAACTGCAAGACTACGAGTTACCAATAAGAGCTATGGACATTGCTCTATCATCTTGTACTTTTCCTGTAAAGGTCGTTGATGAAGAGCTCAGAGGTATACTGCTCAAATGCAAAGGAGAATTCAACCAAAAATTAGGCCAACAAACCAAGTCCTTTGCTCCTTTTGATGCAACGACAACATCAGAGATGAAAAAGGACATTTTAAACAAGAACCTGTCAATAACCTATAAAGATCTCCCAACCTCGTTCTTTTTATACTGCGTGCATCTTCTCCTAGACGGCTCAGCCATGGTAGAGAAAACCGGCCCCTTGCTAAGAAAAACATCAATAAACGGTTATTTTCAGTGGAGCACCAGCAAGATTAGAGAGGTCGTGATGAATTTAATTCCCTCAAATAACGATTTGGTTTTTGCACTTAAGTCCTCTCTTTCACTAGGTTTCGCTGTGTTTTTGGGTTTGACGTATAACAAGGAAAATGGATATTGGGCGGGACTCACAATCGCCGCCTGCTTCGTGACTGGACGACATCCAACATTCTCACTTGCAAATGCACGAGGACAAGGAACCGCAATGGGATCAATCTACGGAATCCTTTGTTGCTTTATGTTTAAAAGATTTGTGAATATAAGGTTCTTATCTCTTCTCCCATGGGTACTTTTCTCTTCTTTTCTTAGGTATAGTAGAATGTATGGTCAAGCTGGTGGGATTTCAGCAGTTACAGGGGCTTTATTAGTCATTGGTATCAAGCACGATGAACGTCCAAGTCAATTTGCACTTGCTAGAATTGTTGAGGCCACAATCGGACTCCTTTGCTTCGTCATTGTAGAGATTCTTTTTAATCCTTGCAGAGCTTCTACTCTAGCAAAAGCTAAACTTTCTCAATGCTTGGGATCCCTTCAAGACTGCATCGACCAGATTTCCACTATTATTCCTAGCGAAAGAGAGAAGTCATCTTCTAGCTGTCAAGCACCGAAAGAAGCGCAGCTGAGGCTTAAATCTCTAGTGGGTCAATTAGAAGAGGTCATAATGGAAGCTGAATTAGAGCCAAATTTCTGGTTTGTTCCATTTCATAATGCCTGCTACAGAAAGATGTTGGAATCACTATCAACGATGGCAGATCTCTTACTTTTTGTGACATACTCAATGGAAAATATCAAGCTATCGTTGCAGAAAGATAGAGCATTCTGGGTGGATCTCCATGACCAAGTTAACGAGAACGTGGGGAGTTTCAAGAGCAAAGTCGGCCCCACATTGAATTGCCTTGAAAAAATATCAAGGATAAAGTCTCCCAAGGAACTTGAAAAAATGTTAAAGAACATAAATCATCCTCGTGATATTGAGAAACAAGAATGTCACAAGGAAGATGCATTTTGGATATGGATTGGAGATGAAGAGGTCGATAGCATTACAGACTCTTTTCTCCAGCATCTAGAAGAGATAGCTAATAAAACTTGCACCAACACAGATGAGGAGATGCTTAAAGGTCAAATGGTTTTCCATTACAGTTGTTTGGGATTTTGTACTAGTAGCTTGATGAGAGAAACAATAAAGATTCAGAGTGAACTAAAAGAGCTACTTATATGGGAGAATCCTTCAAGTCAAACAAACTTCAAATAAGCTCAGTGCTCACACAAAATCTAGCAGCACGACTAGAGGTGACCATAATTAGATACTAAGCCCTAAGAACTAACCGATAAGATGTATATGGTATGAGCATAAATTCAGTCAATTAAAAAAGTGGATCCAACCCCAACACATGATGTTTGAAGCACCCAAAGAGAAAATTCAATACTTCATGTATATCACCCACCAAATCGAGAAAAGATGTTACCTAACTTTTCAAGGAACATCAAGTAGCATTCAGGGCAAACATCTCACGAATTTTAATTTCAATATGCTGTGCATGGAATGTAAAAGTCAAAAAGGGAAAAAGGTTAATTTAAAATTCCAGAAAATACATACCATGTTATCCTCTATTGCTCATGCCATGATTGCACAAAAATAAATTAGGGCATCATCAAGCCAAATCTTCCAATCTCAAAATAAATTCAGTATTTTCATTAGTTTCCCAACCAAGGTTCCTTAACTACAAAACTAAGCTTATGATAGCACACATAAGTATAGCAAAAGTTGAAGCGTTGTGCTCCTTCGACGTTTATGAAAGTTTTAGTAGTAAGCTAACATTCGCAGTCCCAAACTATAATTCTTGATTGCATAAAATATCCATTTGCAAAGCATCTCAGTCTACAACATGAAAAAAGTTACATCTTTAACTTAAAAAGCTCTCCTAGTTCCCCTCAAATTTTGGGTCAGCCATAACAAAATGGTAAGCTATCACCAGTACAAAGATGAAGACGCCTAGAAAATTGGCAAAGAAACCCAGATCTTGATCATCAATCATCTGCAACATCGCAGTCAACAAAATCAATACATGTAAGTACCCTGGTTTGGGATATCACAAAGTGGATTCACAATATAAACATCAAATTAGAATTTATCCGATTATACATCACCCCTCCAAATTTTGATTTTGTCATGACCTAGCAGTGCACAGTTAAAAAACACAAATTCAACAGAAATGGCCAGCTAAAGAAGCCAAAAAAATCGGTTGGAACAATTTCATTTGCATTCCAACACCATAAAATTAAACCGAAATTATATATATTTTTTGCTCACAGCCTCATTTTAGACCAACTAATTCAAATTATGCTGATAGTATAGATTTATGCATAAACATAAACAGTAAGCCCCGATCTGAAAACTGATAAAGAAGCATATCATGAGGGGGAAATTAAATTGAGAAATTACTAATGAAAAGGGGAAATTGGGGACCGATCTCATCGAGGAGATCGAGGAAGGTAATTGGAATGAAAAGAGGAAATTGGGGATCGATCTCATAGAGGAGAATAAGAAAGATAGGAGGAGTTGAAATTGAAAAGAATGAGGTTACCTTCGGACGCGGTGGAAGGTGGTGTCACTTTTCCCTCAGGCGAGTGTTGTCGTCGCGCTTCCCAGGACTTCGCTGTGGTGCTCCTCCCAGTCCCTAAATCCAACACAAATAAGAGAAACACTGTAGTGTTCATTTGGTTGACCATTTTGCCCATCACTATTTTCCAAACATAAAACAATAATAATAATAATAATAATAATAATAATAATAATAATAATAATAATAATAGATTTATTAAAAAAAACGATTTTAAATCCGTTCCATCTATTGGTATATGCGGTAACTTTTTAAATATTATAAATAAAATATATTGAATTTTAACATGTATGAAAATTATATAGGTTATAAAGAAGTAATAATTTTGTCAAATAATAAAATATATGTGATCGTGAATATATAGTATTTATAAAAGATAAAATTTCAACATGGATAATTGTTTATCTTAATATAAGTTATTTAACTTAATTAGTTGTTAATATTTGATTATTATATTTGATTTTATTAAATTTACTTTAACTTGAGTATAAGATTATTTATGTGAATTTTGTCCTAAAAAGTTAATTTAGTTAAACATTAACGTACCTATAATGTAAATATGTAATAATTATAAAAAAAATCATGTTAATAATAATCGGTCCAAAAAAACTATTATTTGACAAAATTAATTGTTACTATTTAATTATTACATCAAGAGTACTAATTATAAAATCATTCATCTATTTAAAGGATGTAAATTAATGTTGTAATTGCTATTTTTTTATGAGTTAATTATGTAAAATATTTGTAATTATATATATATATATATATATATATATATATATATATATATATATATATATATATATTAGTTATGTAGGAACATATTACTAATTTTGTTCTTTATGTAATTAATGTTATTAGTGTTATAAATGTTATATCTGAAGAAAATTATGAATGAGATAAATTTTAAGGTTTGGAAAAAAGTTTTAGGTATTGTTATTGTTTATATAAATTTAGGCTTTGTTATAAAGATGAAATAACTTATTTTCACTTTCAAAACCTGTAACGGAACAAAAGTTAAAAAATAAGATAGATATAACTAAATGTTTCTTATGATTATAGATAGTTTATTTTAGAACATTATTTTATTAAACGTAAAAAGATAAAAAACAAGTGACGTTTTCATTAAACTTGTGTCGATAAAGTATGGACCTAATATATTATGAAAACTGAAACTTTTATTCATTTAGCTTTAAGTTCAGTGAATAATGAATTTTTTTTTGCAAATTGAGATTATAATTTTTCTAAAATTTTATAATTTATATATATATTTATGATTTTAATTCATAATCATTAAATATATTTATTTATATATTTAAATTTTGATCTCTTATTTTTTTTATTAATAATATATTATTTAAATTCGTTAATCATCTGAAAGTAAATTTTTTTTTATGCGGTGAGTTATATAATTTAAAAATACATATGATGAGGTGATGTTTAAAAGAAAGGTGAACTCAAAAATAATTTTTTCAAAAAAGTATTCATTCGAATCTCATCTCTCAAAATAAGAAATGAAAATATAAGGGTATTGTGAAAAAGTATTATATAAAAAAAAAGAAATTTACTTATTATTTCTACAATAAATTATTATTTTTATAAGAAATAAACACATATGAATAAGTGAAACAAATGTTTGGTATATAAAATAAAAAGGTAAAGTTGTTTATTTCAAAGTTAATTTAACTTTTGTATATAAGATAATATATTTTGATGATATTATTCACATAAATATAACTGTATAGGGTTGTCTTTATAACCAACCACCTATTAACATATTATGAAAAATCTATTTTTATGGACAAAAGAGTTACAAATAGATACAATTTTATATTTTTCTATGGTAACTAAAGATTGAATTTTATTTATACTTATTTCAGACTTTTGTTGTACCATGCTTTAGGTTGAATTTGTTTTGTTTTTGTAATTTGGACAAAATTTCAATTTTATTATTAATTTGAAAATAATACAATTTATTTTTATCAAAATTTGAATATTGCTGATTATAATTTTTAAGATATTAACGTTCACAATTTGTTATAAGATATTCCTAAGTAAATTTTGTTTTGAAGAAAAGTGAACATGGAAAATGTTATTTTTGAGAAAAATCAGGTTATTAATAATGAGTAATACTTTTTTTTTCTCTATACAAACCTAACAATAGAAAAACCATATTGAAATGATTGTAGATTAGAACAAGACAGCAATAAGATTATCTTTAAAGATCTATATGCAAATCTTAATATTCAACATGTGACATTAAAAACAAGAGAAATACAACTTTAAATAATTATTTATCTTTTTCCAATAACATAGTTGATTTTGACTTAGATTTACAAATGATGATGTAAAGAAAATATTTATAAGTTGTGACATTGAATAAGCTATATATTAGGTGGAAGTATATATATAAAAAGGTGTATCATTTAAGTTAATACGTCACGTATACATTTTTAAAAGATTTGATAAAATAATATTGTGTCATTAAAATTTTAATTCGAACTTATTTACGATGATTTAACAACTTGTCTTACTTTTTTTAAAATAATAATGAAATATCAATAACATTTTTTTTAAAATGTCACAATTTTTGTTTTCACAAGACATTTTAATAATTTAAATAAATAATAAATAATAAATTCAAGTTATTAATGATTCAAATGTCCAAAAGTGAAATACAATTTAAACAAGATAATATAAATAATAACATATATAAGTTAAAAATATAATTTTAAAGTCAATTAACCGTTTAATATCTAATTATCATTAAAACAATTAAAGTTGGTCTATTAAAAATGTAATCATATTTTTATATATTTAAATAGGTTAAACTAAAAATAACTCAATCTAATCTATTTAACTTATTTAGTGAACTTCATTTTACACAATCCATGTATTTTAATATTGGTCCAAGCCAAACTAATTGACACAATTCTATCCGATTATAAATTAGTGTAGTAAGTTTGTTAATATTTACAATTTACTGAAGTTTACATTGTTAGAATAATACATTTTTTGTCTGAGAAAGCATCACTATTTAACTATAATGTGTAGATATTTTTGAAATGAATTAGATTTTTCCAATAATTATAGATCACGTTATATCCCGTTACATTCTCTATCTTTAAACCTAGCCAGTCACTTATCGTAACCGATTCGAGGAGCCCGTATGGAAGAGTATCCACCGTCCACCTGGCACAGTGAACGGTTCAGAGTGAGCCAATTACCACCACACGGATCGTGATTCTCAACCGTGGATTAGATAGCAATCAACGACCAGCGCCCATTTCCTCATCGGTATACGAAAAACACAAATCCAACTATGGAAAAGTTGGCTCTATAAAAACCTCGTGTCGCGTTGCTCTTCCTACCTCAATTTAAAATAGTTGGAATCAGAAGAAGAAGAAAAGTGGTGTGAAGATGTCGGGTCGTGGAAAGGGAGGGAAGGGTTTGGGAAAGGGAGGAGCCAAGCGGCACAGGAAAGTTCTTCGCGATAACATTCAGGGAATTACCAAACCTGCCATTCGCCGTTTGGCTCGCAGAGGCGGTGTTAAGAGAATCAGCGGTCTCATCTACGAGGAAACCCGTGGCGTCCTCAAGATCTTCCTCGAGAATGTTATTCGTGACGCCGTCACCTACACTGAGCACGCTAGGAGAAAGACTGTTACTGCCATGGATGTTGTTTATGCTCTCAAGAGGCAAGGCAGGACTCTCTATGGTTTCGGTGGTTGATTTTCCTCTTTCAAAATTAGGGTTTCAATGATAATCTATGTAAATTGGGGTTTCTTGTCTATTATTGATTCCGTGGGATGCTCTTAGAAGAGGTCTTCTGTTAGTTGCGATGTATGTTTTATTTGCTTCAAATGAAATGAAAACATTACAATTAGTCTTTTTCTTGATGGTGTGTTTTAACTGTATTTTTTTTTTCTTTTTTGCTAGAAGATATATTTTGTGTATTGTTCTATGGTTCTTACATTATGGTGTACTCTGAGTGAGGTGGATGAAGTGAGATACAACTGATTATGATTTCAATTTGGAGTCTACTCAACGTTGATATGATTCTAGTATCCATTGAATAAGTTGTACAATTTTTAAATTATATAATTATGATTATGTGTTCCTTTATTTATTTGCTTTTTTGTTTTTGTTTGGAGATGTGTATAGTTGAGTTGGTATAGATGTTGGGCTCTGTGGTTGATTTCATGGTCAATTTTTTGGGTTATAAACTGATGAAGTATACACCTCAAATTCAGCTAAAGTTCAATTTTCTAAAATGAGGCCGTTTTCTTTCACAATCTCAAATCTAAGCAGGAAATTGTTTAAGCATAAAAATAATATTTTAATATGGTTGTTTTTTAAGTATAAATTGTATTGCCATAGATTTTACATATGTTAAATAGTTATTTATATAAATAATTTGGAATCTACATTAAAATATTTTGTTCTTTTACACATTTTTCATTAACTATAATCAACTAAAACAATTAGATAATTTTATTTGTATTCATTTAAGTAATATATATATTTATTTTATTTTTACTGTATTATTAAAAAGTGTTGTGAACATGTGTTTTTAGTTTTATACTAGTAACAATGTTTCTTTTACTATTTGTGACCGTAATTAGACATTTCATCCAAATCTAGAAATTGTAAATTCTCTCAATATTTTGGAATGAGTTGTGTATCCAAACAAGCACTGAGTACAACTAGATATTCGTTTTACAACACATTTTAGCGAAGAGTAATTATTAGATTATCTATCTTAAAAGCTGATTAATAGCGACTATGAAATCTAAAAGAGCCGAACTGTATATATGTTTTTTAAAATGCTAACGTTTTTTTTCTAACACATACTTTATTATTATTTAAACTTCAAATCAACAGTTTAAGTTTTAATATATTTTATTCAATAATAATATAGTGTGACGTTAAATATTTTTCATTTTCTATAAATGGGAACATGCATGTGGATGCTGCATAGATTAAAAGTGGTGTTTTTAAAAGATTTATACTAAATTTGTTAAAATATTATCAAAGAAGGTGTCGTGGTGTAGTTGGTTATCACGTCAGTCTAACACACTGAAGGTCTCCGGTTCGAGTCCGGGCGACGCCAGGATTTTCTTTTGTTTTCTAAAATGGCCATAAACACACACGGGCCAGAACAGAGCTGAGTTTTGGGGCCAGAATACTTAGTTTGGGCTTTGATATTTTCCAATGTTCAGGCTGTTAGACTAATAATTTTTTTAATTTATAGTTTTTTGCAAATATTTCTAATTAAATATTCTTGATGTAAGTTAAATAAATCCCTTTTTTTTGTATTTCTGTAAAAATTTCATCATAAATCGACTATCTTTCCTCGAATAATTTGTATATCTTAAAATTATGCATTTTATTGATATAATTAATAACGAATTTAAACAAGAAATACATTTTATTTTGCTTGAACAAAACATTTTACCAGTAAGTAGTAATAGACATACTTTAATTCTGTAGAAAAATATTAAAAAGTGTGATTGATAATTACTAAAAGAAATGGTAAGTTATCATGGCCATTCTATGTTCTATATACGTCTTAAAGAATATAAAATATAATTTATAAATGAATTAAAATACAATAATTTAGTTTTATACAAAGTATTATTTACAACTTATATGAACTCATTAAAACATATATAAATAAATTCGACAATCCTTTGTGGACATCTTAGTTATAAATATTACCGTTACTAAATTTTATTGGTTTAAAGAAAAAGAATTTCCATACACTTGTTAAATATGTGTTGAAAAAATGCGATAAAAATATAACTGTAACGAAGCATTTAAAATTAAAAACCTAGCATGACCCAATAACATAATGAAGTTCGACTTTTTTTCATAAATAATACTGTTTTTAAAAATATTTTCCAAAATAGCACCTCTGCAACTTTATTTACACAACTAGCACTGTTTACTGTTCATGTAATAAAATAATATTATTTTGCGCAACTGTTTACTGTTCACGTATTAAAATAATATTATTTCGCGCAATGAACTCTCGCTCAAGCGAAGAAACCCTTCGCTTGAGCGAGGAAATCCGTAAGAACGCAGTTATCTCCGGTCAACTCTCGCTCAAGCGACAGATATTTCGCTTGAGCGATAAGTGATTAAAATATGTGGTGACCCAAGTTGCGTTATGTGGCTAACTGCGTTGGACGTTTAGCGAAATAATGCAACTTGGTCGTTGGACGTTGGTCACCACATATTTCAATCACTTTTCGCTCATGCAAAATATCTGTCGCTTGAGCGATAGTTGACCCGAGACTTTAGATAGCGGTTCTAGAACTAACCGCAATTAAAAATATATTTTAGATAGCGGTTAACGTGGAACCACTATTATATGTTCACTTCTAAGAGCGGTTAAAATATTAACCGCTCTTAAAAGTGAGACATATAGTTGCACCGTGGGCAACTCTCGCTCAAGCGAGACAACCATCGCTTGAGCGAATATATTGATAATCGATTATAACGTGAAATAATCGATCATAGTTTTAAAAATAATTGACATATAATAGCGGTTCCAAGTTAACCGCTATGTAAAATATACTTTTAATAGCGGTTAATTCTAGAACCGCTATCTAAGGTCACTCAAGCGAAAAACACATCGCTTGAGCGAGGACACCTGGAAAAATGGGTGATTCTCGGGTTCTGTCTCGCTCAAGCGACGTTATGAACGCTTGAGCGATAAGTGATTCTAATATGTGGTGAACCAAGTTATGTTATTTGGCTACCTGCGTTTGACGTTTCATCATTCGGTCAAAACTCGCTTGAGCGATGAAGTCTTCAAACAAGGGGGACTCTTGGGTTCTGTCTCGCTCAAGCGAAGGGTACTTTCGCTTGAGCGATAAGTGATTGAAATATGTGGTGACCCAAGTTGCATTATGTGGCTAACTGCGTTGGACGTTTAGCTTGGTCAATTTTAGCTCAAGCGAGAAAACCATCGCTTGAGCGAGGAAACCTGCAACTATTTACAATGCTGAGTCACCCACCCAAGTCAGGATTCCCATGTCTTTCTGATGCACACAAGTAAAGAATCTAATGCTGAGTTACCCACCTAAGTTAGGATTCCAATCTTGGATTCCCTGCATTGGGTTAGACAAAAGCAGAAGAATCCAAACATATTTAAAGAGATGTTGACCCACCCACTTTGCTTGGGTTTTGTGTGCGTCAGAAACCATGTGAGGGAGCATTGGATTCAAAGCAATGGACTTCATTATAAATAGACTACTTTCATTCTTTGAAGTTCTCACATTGCACACTCCTAAATCTCTGAAGCTATTTGCATTATTTCTTCTTCTTACCTTTAGTCTTCTTTGTGTTCCACACTCCTAAAATGGGTGTAGTGTCTACTATTGTCCACTATGATGGTTTCATGAACCCATGTCCCATGGAGGGAGTGACCTTCAATACTGGGACTGCAAAACTTGTTCCTTTAAAGAGAGGAATTTCTCTACAAAGGTTGAAGAAGTTGATCCACAAGAAATTGGAGAAAGAACCCCACGAAAATGTAGCAACCATCCATTTTCGCTGTCCAACTAGACTCGGAGTTGGGATCAACAACTTCATTGCTGTTGAGTTAAAAGATGATGACGATGTGAAGGCCATGTTCGATGTTCATGATTCAAACTCAAGTCTATGTGGTATTGAAATTTTTGTTTCATTTAAAACTTCTTCTTCTTCATACCCCAACACACACTCACCAGAAATTTCACCCTTACCCTACCAAGCTTTCCCAAACACTCACCCAGAAATACCCTACCAACTCTGTTTTGAAAAAAACAAGAAATCTACCTATTTGCTCCATGGTCACCGCAACGTATACCCGTTGCAACAAATTTTTCATTGAAAGAGGGAGGCAGATAGATGCCATATGATCAATGCTGGTCATGTATACTCTGAAATTTTGGTCAAAAATTTAGAGGAAGCACAAACACAGACAAACACGCACAGGGTCATAACGTTTGACAGGTCTACCACAAAATTTGTAGTAGAAGAAACACAAAACCCGCATGAAGTTCGACCAGCAGGGAAGTTTGCAGTTCACCTTGATGAGTTATGGTGTGACTGTGGGAAATTCCAAAAATTTCACATGCCTTGTTCACATGTTCTTGCTGCATGCAAACATGCACACCATGACTTCAACAACTATATTAATTCAGTGTATACCTTACAACAAGTTTCAAAGGTATACGGAACACAATTTGGGTTATTGCGAAATGAAGAATATTGGCCAACATACACAGGACCTACTTTGTGTGCAAATCCAGAAATGAAAAGAACTTCAAAGGGCCGACCAAAATCAAGTCGTATAAGAACTGAGATGGACATTACAGAACATCAAAGTATGATTAAAAAATGTTCATATTGTCATACCCCTGGTCATAGCAGAAGAACATGTCCTAATGATGCATGTGCATCTACTTCGCATCATTAGATTGTGTTAGTTAAGAAATGTCTCAATGTATGAAACTTAGGAGTTTTTCAATTAATTGAAAGTGATGAAGATCTTATTGAATCATTTGATAAAATGAAGATCTTTTGAGTTTGATGAAATCAAAGGTTATTTAAGGAACTTTTTGCTAACTATTGATGCACATATCAGTCATACAACTCAATATAACAAGAATGACCAACCATCAGTCAAGAAATTTTAATCGATTGTTTCGTGTTTTAATCGATTGATATACAACAAAACT